ATTTTTTACTGACATTGATGTTATTTCACTGAAGCAAACTTTATAAAAGCAGAAGCTTGCTGATCTATGTGCATTTTATTTATTTTATGCATTAACCTTGAAAAAGTAGTTACCAAATGCATTCCCAGGGAGGAAACTATGATGAGCACCGTGGTTACAGTCGTGAGTAAGAAAATGACAGCAGTGCCCTCACAGTGCTTATCATCTGGAGCAGTGCATCCAGTAAAACTATGATCCACATGCTATTTTCTATAGCAACATTGAAAAAGCAAAAAGAAATAGGTATAGTTAATTTTAATACTGTATTTAACTCAAAAATATTGAAAATATTACCATTTCAACATGTAATGCATATGCAAATTTTTTAGATATATTCAATTCTTTTCTCAAACTAAGTCTCAAAATCTGATGTGTATTATACATATATGGGATTTTTCCATTTGGAGCAGGCACATTTTAAGAGCTCCACAGATAGATGTGGCTAATGACAACTGTATCAGACAGTAAGTCTCGGGGAAAGTTAAATAGTAAGCAAGCAATAAAAACAGCATAAGTTCTACAACAGGAGAAGGCAGTGCTATGGAGAACACAGAAGAGTATCTCAACTCACCTGTGTAGGGCTGAAAAAAATTTCCTGGAGGAAGCAATGTTAAACCAAGCTCAAAAGGATGGGCTGGCATTAGCCCCAGGAAAGGGCAGGGGTAGGGCACTTTATGTTAATGTTGCTGTTGAAGGCTTGTGAGGGAGAGTGACTACTGTGAGCTGGAAAGACTACAAAACTTTAGTGTGGCTGGAACAGATTATTATGGGGGCCAAGAGATAAGAAAATGAAAAGGCAGGTAGAAGCCAGTTCATGATGAGCTTTGCAGACCTTATAAAGATATTTGGACTTTATTCTAAGGAATTCATCCTTCCTAAAGTCTTTAGGCCTGTATTTATGGAACTAGCAATTTCAGGCAAAAATGTGCTCCTCTTCACTGCAATACAATGGGGAGTAAGAGAGATGGTGATGAACAGGCTAAGGCTAGATGACCATTTATTAGAGGCAATGAAGAGTCTAGTTCTGGATTAAATGAGTCCCTCAGGCCACTGTCAACTCAGATTCCATGAATCTAACTCTTCAGCTGTTAGCAATATTAGAAATAGTTGCTAACAACTGTATTAGAATATAAATTATGGTTACGAAAATGTAATGTTATTTATAAATTACTTTTGTAGGGAACACGATAAGTAACACTATATATGTGTTAGATATTTATATTAAAGTTTCTGGCTAGTAGTTCTGAATAGTGTGTATAAACAGTGAAGTCATAGATTGTTTTGAAATTGTTTTATAAATTATTGATTTGGCAATTGACAAAATGATTCATGGTAGTTTTAAGTGTCTGTTCTAACTTGGGCCCTCAAACCTTCTAGAGTCTTGGGTCTTCTAGAGTCTTGGGTCTTCTAGAGTTGTCATGACATGTAACAGTAGTTATTTATACAAGCAAAAGGCACCAGGTTTTAGGTTTTACAAATTACAGCTTAATCACTAGAATTACTATATAATTCCATTAAGTATATTGTGATTACAAGTATGGTGGTCTTCCTTGTCTTAATGGATTATTAGCTTTTTAAAAGCAAAGGAAGTGACTTCTGTTTTCATCAGTATACAGGTACACTATGTGTCAGGAACTGTGGCACATTTCCCAGAGTGCTTGATAATCTTGAGCATATTTAGTATGAGAAAAGTCATTCAAATATAGTCACTGCATATTATAGCCTGCCAAAATACATGTTTGTTAAATAAAGGTACTGCTTATGAACTGCACTGGGCTGAATAGTATCCTCTGAAGTTCATGTCTATTAGGAACCTGTGAATGTTTACTTTATTTAAAAATAGGGTCTTTGCAGATATACTCAAATTAGGTTCAGGATATACTGGATTTTGGTGGGTTCCAAAGCCAGTATGACTGGTGTCCTTATAGTAAGAGGGAAATTTGGACACAACGACTGATACACAGGGAGAACGGCCATATGACAAAGGAGGCAGAGACTTAGTGATGCACCTACAAGCCAAGAAACATCAAGAATTGTTGGCAACCACCAATACCAGAAATAATCAAGAAAGCATTCTTTCCTAGAGCCCTGCCGACACCGTGATCTTGGATATCTTAGCCTTCAGAACTCTGTTGTTTTAAGCCATCATGTGTGTAGTCCTTAGTTATGGCAGAACTAGGAAACTAACACAGGAACTTTCTTGGGTTTTCCGTTGCTTCCCTTATTTCCTTTGTGAAGTAGCTCTCTCATGAGACTTCTATTTAATGGACTTGACAGATTAACCCCTTTCTCTGTTAAACAAAATACCTCTGGATAGTATTCTACTCTCTAGCATTCTATACAGTTCTGTTCCCACCACAAGGCTGTACACTTAGAGCCCAGAACACTTACTATTGCCATTACATGATTTAATCAAATATTATATAACCGGTGAAATATGCGTACAAAAGGAAAGACAGCCACTGTTTCCATGAAAACTAGGTTGGAGATTTTGAAAATCTTGATAATGGTGAGTCACATAAAAAACACAATCAAATTGGATGTTGGTGAGGTAATTATAAAAGGCTGAAAAATAATAAAAATCTAGAAAATATGCTCATTCAGATTGCTTTGTAAGTACCTTTAAATTCTTACTTCATTTGAATAAAAATAAAAATCAGAGCTTGTAAAAGATATACCATGGGTGTGGTTTATGTAAGAATGGAATTTGTGGAACTACAATTAGGACCCAAGCATGTTCACACACACACACACACACACACACACTCTCTCTATATATGTGTGTATATATATATATATATAGATTCTATAATTCTACACTTGCATCAACTTTTTCTATTAGCCACACAGTCATAACTACAGACTATAATAAATAAGGTTTCCACTACAAATACAGGCTATTACCCCATGTTGTTACTCAGTCATCTATTAGTCTACAAGCTTCGTGATCACAGAGGCTCTATCTGATTCACTCCCCATTCTATCCTTAGCATTCAGTATAATGCCTGGCATACAGCAGCCTCTCCTGAATTATTTTTTTAAATAACGAGAACAAAACGTAATTCCATTGCTTCTATTTTCCCTTTTCCAAAGAATTATATCATCATCAATAAAGTGTAATTATTATAGGCTGATATGAGCCATAAAAATGGACTCATTATAGAGAATTCAATCTTTTAGTGACATTTACTAAAATGGGATTTTACATACACATATTTGAATATTATCAATTTTACTATATCATTTGTCATAATAGCCCCAATACGTTTTTCACATCATATCTTTCTGAAGACACTTAAATTGTTCCTATTCTACATCTTTATGTAATTTCTACCTAATGCGATAGTGTTATTTCCCCAAGCTTGCAGATTAGGAAAAGTTAATTTCTTAAAGGCAGATTCCCAATTATGCCTCAAATTCATGAGCTTCCAAATTCTAGAATAGTACTGATGTTGCCCTTCATTAGGCTGTACCATTGATGAAACTGTTGACATTCTGAGTCTCAGTTTCTTCAGTTACCAGATGAGGTTTTTTGTTTTTTTGTTTTTTACTGATGATCTCTAGAGTACCCTCTCGGCCCAAGTCCTCATTTTCAGCAGCAGAAAATTCTGGACTTTCTTGTGAATAAAAAAATGTGACTTCTCACTGCTCTTCTTTCCAATATGGGAGACAGAGAACAATGCACAGGGCTAGTTAAAGAATGACAGGAAGGGTAAGATGCAAACGTGTGAGTGAGTATGAAGTGGGAAGGAAAAAGGGACACAAGGCAGAGGGTGGATTTAATGTTAGCCCACTAGTATAAACTCTTTTGGGGGGAAAAATACCGTGAACTATTTTATGCTCACATAACTCATGAGAATTTTGCAATTACTCGCCTGAAGTAAGTTGCTCAAGGGCCTTGAGGTATGCCGCTTAAAAGATTGAAGACTTAGTCAACTTTCTACATTTTATTACCCTAACTAAGTAGAATATATTTTTATGAAGCTGTCATACAACAACTGCTATATGATCTCTAAACCTTGATCTGAATAAATTTGTAATTAAGTTTTATTCCTTAAACTATGGATAATATGAAGATAGAGGCAAACAATATTAGGTTCTTTCTACCAGCTTTTTCCTTTATCTTTGGCTACTTAACTAACTTAACAGGAACCATTGAAAAGAAATCTTAATACATTTGGTAAATAAAAATGATGTAGGGCTTCAGAGGGTCCAACAACAAAACATAGGATTTACCACTGGAACTCTGTTAAGTAACTGCAGAAACTGTATTTTTGTCTGGAAAACTTTCAGCATGGAATACAGCTGTGCAACAACTTGGGCTTCAAACAGGAAGGCTATAATAAAGCACCTCCTAGCTAGACTTGGGTTCAAGAGGCTTATGGTGGCAAATAGCAGAAAAGATGAAACGTCTCAATAAGCCCCTCGGGCTGATCTAGTTAGCATTCACAAAGTGGAATAGCCTATACATCACATACCCTTTGTTAGCTGGTTGTTTAGAATAGATGCATGAGTCACTGGATTTTATTTTAGCAGTTGGGCAATGCAATTCTCCTTTTGCCCAAAATATTAAAATGCAGAAATGTGAAACTGAAAGGTAATGTCAGATCTTATACAGGAAGCTTATCAAGCACTGTGACGAATCAAGAAATTCTTCTGTTCTTGTCATTCCACGTTTCACCTTGGTAGGCACAAATGATAAATTACCTCATGTAAAAAAAAAAAATCTATTATTAAACTAATCAGCAAACTACAGTATATTTTGAAATTGTGTGTGGGGGAGAGGTGTTGGGAAGGGGGAAGCTTGCACAACCAAAGAGAAGTAGCATAAGAGAAGGATAGGCAAGATTCTGTCCTACATGATTTTAAGTACAAATGAATCCCTCTGGGAGTTTGGGGGATTAATATATATATTTTCTTTTTTCCCCCTCTCAGACATTGTTCAGAATTAACAAGGGTACCTGCAACGATGCTGGCAAGCTGCTGGGTTCTGGTGATGGGGTAGATGCTGCGTGCCTGAACAATGGCCGAAGCGATTTTCCTGGCATGCCTCTCCTCCCCGTATGTTCTCAGGATGGATGCAAGTGCCTGTTGATCTAAAGCGTTCACAACATCAGCTGCAGTGGGCATGTCAGGGTACCTACGCACAAGGAGAACCAATTAGTTCACTGACGTCAGTTTCATTGACAAGAGGTGAAACTTCAGAACACCGAGACACAAAGTCAGGCATACACATTGTCTGAGAGAGCTTCTGAGGTTTTTAAAGTCAGAGGCTAAAATCTTATAGGAATGAAATAGGTTTTCCATTTCAAATACCCTTCATTATGGCAAGTGGGGGCTGTGTGTGTAACATTCATCAAGGTCAAGGGAAGCAGGAAGTTAAAATATTTTACTGACCTCTAATTCACAAAGAAAGTTATTGCTCATGCAGCTTGCCCCTAAATTACAATAATGGAAATGTTTGGATTAAGTTTGTTCAAAACTTACACTGCTGCTAGAATTTTTTTTCTGTATAGAAGATAAAAGGCTTACTGACTGATATTTAAATGAGCCTAAATCTCAGGAACTTATATAAATCTGAGACTGTCCAGTAACCAACTACTTATATTACTGGAGCACAAACTAAAGTTAGAAAATCATCATAGGAGTCCTGCCTTATTCCAGGACTACACTCTAAGATGACTCCTAGCAGACACTTGACACCGTGACAGTACCGAGCCCTATATGTATTATGTTTTTCCTATGCATACATGCATTCACTCTATGGCTCCTCTTTGGACTACAGGAATTACCAATATCACTACCTTCAGCTTGGCCACTATTAAGTCAAATAAAGATTACTTAAACACAAGCACTACGATACCTCTACGGTTGATCTGATAACCCACACGGCTGTTAAGCAACTAATGAGAGGGTACCAACACAGCATAGATACACTGGACAAAGGGATGATTCACATCCCAGGCAGTACAGAGTGGGACACCATGAGATTTCGTCTTGACACTCAGTATGGCACACAATTTAAAGCTTATGAATTGTTTATTCCTGGAATTTCCCATTTAATAGTTTCAGGCCAGGGTTGACCCCAGGTAACTGCAACTGTACAAAATGAAAGCAGGGATAAGGGGTACTACTTACAAGAAGATAATGCTGATCAGTTTCCTCACAAAAACTAGAACAATCTGAATGATAATAATGTATATTATTTCAAATGTTTCATACTGGTTTCTACCTCCATGACAAAAGACACCATGGGCTAAAACCTGGCAATCAATGAACAGTAGTAAACAAGCCTAGATGGTAATTTCAGGTGAAGAAGACAAAGAAATACCAAGCTCTGACCAAATAAAGTAAATCACAGTAGCAGGAAATGGCATTCACTCTGAGAGACCATGCTAGTTTACCTTACTTTAGAGAAATGGGTCAAGGAATTCTAAGTGCTGAGTTAACTTAGACCTTCCTTATTAGAAAGATAGCTTTGCTAATAGTACAGATACTACTCTTGTAGTTATTATGTTGGGTTGATTGTTGGTACCACATTGTGAGAACTTGGTAGCTTTAAGACCTGAGGATCAAATCAGAGTGAGGTTGCCAAGAAACACCCAAATCATTCCTTAAATATACTACACCGCACCTTGTTAGCATGTCTAGGTCCTCCAGGAGAAAATTGTATTTTGTCCTTGGCTTGTGCCCTATTTTGCTATAACCTCCATCTCTCCTTCTCCCTCTCTCTCTCTCAAACCTTGTTTTCCAGATCATGGGATTCTTGGTTTTTTTTCTGGCTGCCATGGCACCCGCAGACCAATGAACATCCTATAAGGTAGCCTGGCTTCTATATCAAGAGGCGTTGTTCCTTCAATAACAGCTTTAAGTATAAAGATTTGGTCTTTAGAGTCAAATTGACCTAGATTAGCATCCTGTCTTTGCTACTTACATTGGGTAAGCTTGTTCATATTGTGGAGCCTCAATTTCTAACCAGTGAATGAAAATAACAAAGCCTACCTCACAGAATTGTTGAGAGAATGAAGGGTGCATATAACCATAAAACAAATGGTATAATACCTAGCCCACAGAGAAGCTCAATGCATGTCAACATCCTTTAGATTTTCCTATTCCTAGATTTGTCAATTGTCATTTTTGGCCTAATCGACAAAATCCCTGATAGATCTTACCTAGCTGTGAATTCAACTGCCCAAACCACTGAGAGTTAGAATGAACCTCGTGAACGATGATAAATTCAGACTCCATAGGACAGCGTTCAGCTCAAACAGGACAATTCTAAAATTAGTATGGATGTACTTAGCAATTTTTTATAATACCTTTCTACTTTTAAGAAAGAAAATTAAAACAGCATTTTGCTCAAATATAGTTCAGTGGATAATCAGCATAATTTGATTTTACTCTAATTTTAACACTGAACAGCAGCATAGAAGTTTCCATAGTGCTACAAGGCAAAAGGGGGACATTCTGAAAGTCAACAGGAGTTGACGGCTAGGAGGCTTCAGAATAGTCATTCATACAGTAAAGAAGTCAAGATACAAAATCTGACCCCTCACCATAAGGTTAACAGGTTAAGGGATCTTGGTCCTCCAGAGAGCACAGATTTACAATGACTACACTCACGAGAGAAAGAAACTATTAACCTAAGTGGGAATTTGTTTATTGCCTTCTAGTGAAGAATCCAACTGACAACAGGGATATACCCACTCTCAAGTCCTTGAAGCTGTGAACTTCTTTCTGCTACATGAGAACATTATTGTGATCTTAAAGTTGTTGTTGAAATTGGGAGAGCACAAATTACGCTATAAGATTCCAGTGTTAAATGGCAAGAGGTTAAGAAAGCCTGTTGCACCCACATTCAAGATGGATGTATCAGTCTCCATGAGGTGACTGGCCACATTTCGTCTCCCGTAAAATACCACTTGGATTAGCATCGCTCTTATTTACATCTGACTCTCCTTTCTCTATAAATTCATGTGAACCAACTCCCCCTTTCTGAATGCCACACACTGTTTCCAGATCTGTTAATATCTGTGGCTAAGTAACAGTCTAAGTTAACTCAATGGAAGCCAACCTGCTTTTTAAGATATATTTTCTCAACTCTAATCTCAACCATCATGTCTTGATTATGAGTTTAATTTTCAAGGGCAATCTTATTTTCAAGTTCTTAGAGAAGAGTCTCAGGAACCCTGATTCTTAAACTAAAATTTGCTGATAGACTTTTACATTAATATGAGGATTTACTATTATTAACTAGAAGCTTTGTTCATTGTATTTGGGAAGGCATCCTCCTTAGCAAGACATCAGGACAGCAGAAATTTGCTTGCCATTTTATTACCTCTGCACAACAACCTCAATCTCCAAACATAAGAAGATATTTGACCTTTACTATTAGTCACTGTTTTTTAAAAGATTTTTATTATTTTCTTTTATAATCATATTCTTCATTCTATGAATGCCGACTTGTGCAAAAGAAGGTGTAAGGCTTAGAACAAAATGATTCCGACAAGTATGGGTCACAATCTTGGCTCAAAGGTCACAGTTAAGCACAGGGAAAAGACTATATGAGAATATTTACCATGGAATAGAGCAGTTTGTGGGAAACAAGCTAAAGTCAACTCAATATTAATTTGTTGACAAACTGAACATTAAATTTCTTATATCCAGGTCCTCCTAAATTGGAAGAAATTTTGGAAAACCTGTTTGTTCCAGTAGAAATATTTAGGCAGGTCTAGAAGTGCAGATTAGCAACAGTAACTGAAGAGCTTGCTTACTTAGCAATAGGAAAGCCCAATGTTATTCCCAGGTGAGCTTCACAAGGCAGGGGCCACGATAGATAATTTGTTGGCAGTGGTGGCGGGGACATGGAATGAGGGAGGAAGGCCTGGGTAAGCTGTGACAGCACAGGCTGGCCAGTTCCTGAGCAAGTGTTGGGCATACAGACATGTGCAAATATAAGCTTTCAAAACTAATTTAGATTTGAAAGAAATTATCCTATACTTTCCTGAAATGTGACCTTCTTTGTGTTATTTAATACACATGTATCTGTTTGACTAATGAATGAATGCTAGTCCTCCCGGGGTGGTAAGGAATGAAGAGTATAAACTCTCCTATGCACAGTACTGTGTTTGACATAGTGCCATACATTATAGTTTCTCTGAAGAAGGTGGAACCAAAGTGACTGTGTAAGATACGACAAACATACATTTGCTGACCTCTAGAATCTTGGCTTTAATGAGATATTTAAAACAACATACATTAAATAGAGTTCCTTTTACCTCTCACAAGAGACATGGTTGGGCCAGTGTAAACGTGGAACCCTTGTTTTGGTACCACATTTATCAACATTGTGAGTAGTCTAAAAGCTCACAGTGTATCCATAAGAAAGATAGCCAGTATAAAAGTTCTCCTCCTCACTAGTTTGTGTAAAGACAGTGATGGTTTTTCTTTCAGAATCCCAAATCTAGAGAAACACTAAAAGCTATAATGAGTAGCAAACAAAACTGATTTATAATATATGGATAGTGTTGGGTGTGGGCGTGTAATGGGAATTCGGCAGTCTTAAAAGGAAATTAAATTCAGAGTGCTTTTGAGAAATTGATTTCTTGCTGTGTGGAGAAATGCTTTATCGATACTCACCTGCCACCATCCATTCTCATGTCCAAAGGGCCGTCCTTCCGAAGGGAAAAACCTCTTTCAGGAGCATCAAGTTGCATGGAGGAACATCCAAGATCCAAAAGAACTCCATCCAAAGTCCCTGGCTGCACTCCAGCTTTCATTAATAAGCCTTCGGCCTGGCTAAACTGGCCTAGCATAGCTCGCATCTGTTTGCTGTGAACACATGCAGAAGATGGAGAAAACGCTGCTGTTACATGAAAGTCTTTCTTAAGGTCTATGATCAATGGAAGGAGCACATCCTATTATTAAATGACTTAACCAATACATATTTACTGTCAACCACAAGCTCAGTACTATAAAAAGACATATGGATATGGAAACTCTACATCTTTGATTTCAACACTAGAGGTGATTTAATGTAATTTTATTATTGCTAATGAACACAGTTTATTTTATACCTTTGTGAAGGTATAAAATAAGCTGATGGATTTAAAGAATTCCTTTATCAGACCAGGTATTTCACGTTTTCTTTTAAAAAATATTAAATCTATACATTGGGAAAAGAACCATATACAAATCTATAAAAAAAATAAATTTAGAGAGAACAAATGCTGGCAAGATGTGGAAAAAAGAGAACGAACCCCTGTGCACTGTTGGTAGGAGTGTAAATTAATATAGCCAGTAGGGAAAAGAGTATAGAAGTTCCTCAAAAAATTAAAAATAGAACTACCATGTGATCCAGCAATTCCACGTCTAAGAATATATCCAAAGGAAATGAAAAAATACTGTGAAGAGTCACCTGCACACCCATGTTCATCAAAGCATTGTTTACAATAGCACGACATGAAACCAACTAAGTGTCCATTAAGTGAATGAATGGATAAAGAAGTTGTGAATTAGTATTCTGCCATAAATACTAAGAAAATCGTGCCATTTGCGACAACGTGGGTGAGATAATAATGCTAAGTAGAATAATTTTAAAAAAAGACAAATTCTGTATGATCGCCCTTATATGTGGAACCTAGAAAAAAAATGAAACAGAGAAACTCAAATACATAGAAGAAGAGATCAGATTCATGGTTACCAGAGGCGAGGGATGGGAAAAGGGGAATTGGATGAAGGCAGTCAAAAGGTACAAACTTCCAGATAAATAAGTACTAGGGATGTAATGTATAACTGGTTACTAGTTAACAATGATGTATGGTATGTATGAAAGTTGTCAGGAAGTAATTCCTGCCCTGGCCGGTGTGGCTCAGTTGGTTGGAGCGTCATCCTGTGCACCTAAAGGTCTCAGGCTCAGTTTCTGGTCAGGGTATATACCTAGGTTGTGGGTTCAATTCCCACCCCAGTTGGGGCACAAGCAGGAAGCAGCCAATGGATGTTGTTTCTCTCTCTCCCTTCCCCTCTCCCTAGAAATAAAAAATAAAAAATCAATGAATGTGTCCTTGGGTGAGGATTAAAAAAAAAAAGGAAGGGACTCCTAAGATTTTCAGCACAAGGAACAATATATAAGGGTCACATCATCATGCCGTACACCTTACACACTGCTGTCTGTCAATTATCATCTCAAAAATTTAATGAGTTAGACAATTTAAATATAATATGTAAAAAAAACAGAAATCAGCAAAAAAGATACATCAAACATCTTCAAGGCAACCATGTTAGCTTTCTCCATATTCTCCCCATAATTTACAATTGCGGAGCTGTGAAACTGCACATCTGAAGAATGAAACTATACATAAAATAAATGCCTCCTTGCAGAAGCAATGTTTCAGCTCTCAGCGGGGATTCTGAAGTGAATGGAGCATTCAAAATCAACAGAACGGCAAGAAGTTGGGATCTCCTTGCAGCTATACTAATTCTCCTTCCTACACAAAGTGAGATGCTGCCTTCAGGGCTCTTCAGAAGCCTTAGGGCAACTGGCATGCATTTTGGAAAGGGAAAGAAAAAAGAAAAATTGGGCAACATTCCCAAGACCTCTTTCCCTCCATCTACAGATGGGTGGGGTGAGTGTGGATTTCAACAGTGCTGGGAAATTCATGTTTATGATTATGATTTTTTACTTATTTATGTTGTTGTTTAAGGAGAAATTCACAAATCATTGGTAATCTTTTCTCACATTTTGATGAAGACAGTCATTTTCAGATTCACTCACCAAATATTCATCGAATATCTGCTATATGTCCAGCATATGCTACATAAAGGTTAATACAATGATTAATAAAGCATGGCTTTCTAAGCTTTGAGCTGATAGGAAGAAATGTATAAATAAATAGTTTGCATAACAAACTCATAGGTGCTAACACTGGACAGATAAACAGATTGCCATGTCTGTATAGAAATCCTCATTTTATTGCATCTTGCTTTATTGCACTTTGCAGATACTGTGGGGTTTTTTTTACAAGTTGAAGTTTTCTGGGAACCCTACGTCCGGCAAGCCTATCGGTGCCATTTTTCCAACATCATTTGCTGACTTCGTGTCTCTGTGTCACATTTTGATAATTCTTGTAATGAACTTTTTCATTATTATATTGTATTTGTTACAGTAACCTGTGATCGTAATGTTTGATGTTACTATTGTAATTGTTTTGGGGTGCCACAAAGCACACCAATATAAGATGGTGAACTTTATTGACAAATGTTGTGTGTGTTCTGACTGCTCCACTGACCAGCCATTCTCCCATCTCACACTCTCTCCTTGGACCTCCCTATTCCCTGCGACACAACAATATTGAAGTTAGAAAGCCAATTAATAACCCTACAATGGCCTCTGACTGTTCAAATGAAAGGAAGAATTTTACATCTCTCACTTTAAATCAAAAGCTAGAAATGATTAAGCTTAGTGGGGAAGGAATGCCAATAGCTGAAACAGTCTGAAAGGTATATCTCTTGCACCAAACAGTTAGCCAAGTTGTGAATTCAAAGGAAAAGTTCTTGAAAAAACTGAGAGTGCTACTCCAGGAGAACACACAAATGGTAAGAAAGTACAATAGCCTTATTGCTAATATGGAGAAAGTTTTAGTGGTCTAGATAGATCAAACCAGCCACAACATTCCCTTATGCCAAAACCTAATCCAGAGCAAGGCCCTAACTTAATTCAATTCTGTGAAGGCTGAGAGAGGTGAGGAAGTTGCAAAAGAAAATTTTGAGGCTACCAGAGGTTGATTCATGAAGTTTATGGAAAGAAGCCATCTCCATAACACAAAAGTACAAGATGAAGCAGCAAATTATCCAGAAGATCTTGCCAAGATATTAATGAAGGTGGCTACACTAACAACAGATTTGCAAGGTAGAGGATGGTACCTTGGACTTGAACAGCTAGAGGAGAGAAGACAATGCCTGGCTTCAAAGCTTCAAAGGACAGGCTGACTCTCTTGCTAGGGGCTAATGCAGCTGGTGACTTGGAGATGAAGCCAATATTCACTTACCATTCCCTAACTACTATGGCCCTTAAGAATTATGATAAGTCTATTCTGCTGCGCTCTAGAAATAAAACAAAGCCTGGATAACAGCACATCTGTTTACAACATGGTTCACTGAATATTTTAAACTCACTGTGAGACGAACTGCTCAGAAAAAAGATTCCTTTGAAAATATTAGTGCTCACTGAAAATTCACCCGGTCACCCAAGAGCTCTGATGGAAATGTACAAGGAGATTAATGATGTTTTCATGCCTGCTAATACAACATCCATTCTACAGTCCATGGATCAAGGAGTAATTCTGAATTTCAAGTTTTATTAAGAAATATATTTTGTAAAGCTATAGCTGCCATAGATAGTGATTCCTCTGATGATCTGTGCAAAGTAAATTGAAAACATTTTGGAAAGTATTCACCATTCTAGATGTCATTGAAAACACTTGTGATTCACAGGAAAAGGTCAAAATATCATTAACAGGAGTTTGGAAAAATTTGATTCCAACCTTCATAGATGACTTTCAGGGGTTTAAGACTTCAGCTGAGGAAGTAACTGCAGATGTTATGGAAAAGCAAGAGAACTAGAATGAGAAGTAGAGCCTGAAAATGGGACTGAATTGCTGCAATGTCATCATAAAACTTTAACAGATGAGGAGCTGCTTCTCTTAGATGAGCAAACAAAGTGGTTTGTTGAGATGGAATCTACTCCTGGTGAAGATGTTGTGAATACTGTTGAAATGACTGTTGTGAAGACTGTTAAAATGACAATACAGGATTTAAAATATTACATAAACTTAGTTGATAAAACAGCAGCAGGGTTTGGTAGGATTGACTCCAATTTTGAAAGTTCTATTGTGGGTAAAATGCTACCAACAGCATTGCATACTACAAATAATTGTTTGTGAAAGGAAGAATCTATCGATGTATCAAAGTCCACTGTAGTCTTATTTTAAGAAAATGCCAAAGCCACCCCAACCTTTATCAAACATCACCCTGATCACACCAGTTAGCAGACATCAATAATGATACAATACCTTCTACCAGTAAAAAGATCACGATTCACTGAAGACTCATATGATAGTTAGCTTTTTTATTTTTTTAGCAAAAACGTATATTTAAATTACGGTACGTAGATTATTTTAGACATAATACTGTTGCACACTTAATAGACTACAGTATAAGCAGAACATTAGGTACTGGGAAACCAAAAAATTAATGACTCACTTGAAATATCTGCTTTATTGCAGTGGTCTGGAAGTGAACCTGCAATATTTCCAAGGTATGCCTGCATTTGGAAAATACAGAATGAATGCTAATTCTAGCACTAGAAATAGAAACAATAGAATTTTGGGATTAGAGGGCAATTCACAAATCATTCATTTAACTGATGTTGAATCTTTTCCCTCGCCACCTTTGCTGCTGGTTGAGGAGGAGAACAGCAATTGTTTTAATCACCTCCCACTCACCTCATTGGTGAAGAAGGGATTCCCATTCTAGGATTACGGAAATGGCCAAACACACGACACCTGACACTGCACAGATGCGATGGGCAGGAGTCTATTAATCTCATATACTCTCTGTCCAGGGGAGGAAGATATCGCATGCTATACATGGCTAAATGGGGGTTGCATTCAGGAACAGAGTGGACAGCCAGAGGCTGTGGGAAACAGGATTTTTAGAATCAAGAGGGTGGGGTCCCCTTGGTTCCCATGAGAGAATGTGATTGGCTTGATTGAATAATTCCCTGGCTGACAAGCTACTGAAATGTGCCGCTCAGAGATAAGTAGATACTCTGC